AACAATGCATAACACAATAATCAACAAGAGAATCACACATCAATCCAAACATCAATCAAACACAAATTCTAATATTTCTAAATCGCCCAGTCTCTGATTTCACTCTCCCAACCCAAAATTAACCAATGTACGATCCTTTCTCCAAAAAATCACCTCAGAAACAGGATCGGAAACCTGATCTAGAAACTAGACAGAAAGAGATTTCCAAAGATAGGCGGATCGTCTCCTAAGTTCTTCTGGTTCGACGGAAATCCTCACTCCAAATGGACTGATCGTAGACCCAAAACCTAGAATTTTCACTACAATCCGATCTGATTAGACTATCCGTTCCTCTATTTTTCTAAAACGGGCCTGAACTGTCTCCAAAACAACAATCTCTTCTTCTCTTTCACAACCTACGAAATCCTCTCCTTTTCCTCTCCAAAATCGGAGCCAAAAATGTCTCCATGCGTTTTTATATCATGCCCTAGGGTTCCCTTAACCCAAACCAGCCAAACCAACAATTGAACCAAAACGGTCGGTTTAATTAAAGCTTGTGTCGATCGACATACGACCAAAATTCACTGAATTTGGTTCACGGACGTTACAATTCTCCCCCACTAACACGGATTCAACCTCGGATCACGCAACACCGTCTCACTACGGTCATACTCCTGGCCAAAACCCGGCCAGCACCACTCGAGATCATACTCGAATAACACAACATCGTCCTACTAAGGTTAACACCCCCGTCCGAAACCTGATTAGCTTTGCCCGGAAACACCCAGAATGCAACGTTTCCTGATCCGAACTAGGCCTGTCCGATTGATCGCACAACAATCAAACAAGAACATGCCCGACCAACCATAGACCTAGGATTAGACCAATTGATCGTGCAACAATCAAACAAGAACATGCACGACCAAGACGCTACATAAGTTCACCAGGGTCATCAGAACCGAGGTTCCAAACCCAAGTAAAAACCCTAGATTAGACGTTCACATACACATCCCTGACCGACCCGGTCAACACCACCTGAGATCACTCCCGATCTTTGAAGTTCATCCANTCTCTTACTTATAATCACGTCNAGACGTTAATGGCTCATATCTCATATATATACATCTATACCGCACACTCTTAGGGTCGTCACCCTTTGAGCTCACGGAGTATAGTCCATGCCCCTCTCACCCTCGGGACACACAGTCCGTCGAGCAATCAGCATACAGGGAACCCAGTATCCCCTGGAGAGACCCACTATCCCTCAAAGTATATGCAGAGAACCCACTATTCCCTGGAGAGACCCACTATCCCTCAAGATGTTGATATGCAGGGAACCCACTATTCCCTGGAGAGACCCACTATCCCTTGGAGAGACCCACTATCCCTCAAGATATCAAAAATGCAGGGAACCCACTATCCCCTAGAGAAACCCACTATCCCTCAAGATGTCGACTATCCTAAGATAGGCGGATCGTCTCGTACGTACTTCGGGTTCGACGGGAATCCTCCCTCGAAATGGATTGATCGCAGACCCAAAACCTAGAATTTTCACTCCAATCCGATCTGATTAGACTGTCAGTTCCTCTATTCTTCTAAAACGGGCTAGAACTATCTCCAAAACAACAATCTCTTCTTCTCTCTCACAATCTACAAAATTCTCTCATTTTCCTCTCCAAAATCGTCTGCAAAAACGTCTCCATACGTTTTTATATCATGCCCTAGGGTTCCCTTAACCCAAAAGCAGCCAAACCAACAATTGAACCAAAACAGTCGGTTTAATTAAAACTTGTTTCGATCGACACACGACCAAAATTCACTGAATTTGGTTCACGGACGTTACAATTAATGTGGCCAAGATAGTGCTTTTAACCTGCCATGGATATTGATCTCCTATAATTCGAATAAACGGCCTAAAAGAAGAAGAAAAGGCATCTTAGTTCAACAAACATTAATACCAAATAAAGTTTGATGGTATTTATCAATAATGCTAACATCGTGTGTAATCACCCATAAGCCTGAAAAATTAGAGCTAGTTCTGGACTCGCATAGCAACATTAAACATCAATTTATCCAGCTAAAACTATACTATCC